CTATTGTATATGTGGTTTATCATCGACCAAAATGTCATTATGTGGCGCATGACTGTACCATAAATGGAATGACTATCAAGGTTTAACTGTATTTCTATTTTGTTTGCTTCTCTATATAAAACATTGTTTTAAAAATCTGAGGTATAACATAACACAGTAAAAGTGTCTAACTTGACACATTTTTACATAAGTATAATACACCAAGGGAACCACCAACCATCAAATATAGAACATATAACCCCCCACAAGGCACTATCATGTCCTTCCCAACCAATACTTCCCCCCAAACTAAGGTAATGAGCATTCTGATTTGTACCACAGTAAGTCACTTTTTGTGCCCATAAACAATTTGAAACTACAAAGAAAAGTTCTAACTTCCTGAATCAAACATTTATCTCATCATAATTTAATAATAGTTTATTATATATAATTGAGACAAAAGACTAAAGATACCTTTTTAAAAAACACAAAGCCAATTCCCTAAACAAGTTGCTAAATATAAACTTGTTGATATTTGAAGATCTTGGTAACACAATCTCAAGTAAAATTTTACATCTAATCTATTTTCAAGGCTTAAAATGTGACTATAGCCAGGCTAAATCTCATATAAACACACAAATTCTTTCTAATGTCAAAACAGACCCGAGTCAGCTTTTAGTTCTTTCACTTTGAAAGATCAACGATCTTTTGACGCTATCTGCCATCAATTACAATAGTTCAATCTGATAATCAAGAACATTTTATCTGGCCAAGGATAGACATTAGGAAGTTATCCACCTAACAGCCAGTCAAGAAACTGTAAGAGAAATAAGATATATTTACTTCCTCCACTGTTGAGACCATATGAAGAAAAGCCCCTGCCCTTTAAGCACCAAGCCTATCTAGTGATCTGAAGATTTTTTTTTTTGGAGGGAGGGAAAAAAGAAAAGTAAAAAGGGAAGAGGTAGGACTGGGAGATATGCTGTGCAACCTTAGGGCAAGTTATAAAACATTCGAGTATCAGTATCCTTAAGGATTAATTAAGATGATTTATACTGTATAATCATACAAATATATCATACACATTACTACTATTTCTCATTGTTCTTTTACTATTAAGCATTAGGAAGAGAAATAAAGGTATCATTGGAACATAAAAGTGAATTGGTTTGATGCCACTCAAATCACTGTTACCAGAAAAAGACATGAATACACACACACACACACACACACACACACACACACACACACAGATGTTAGAAGATGCCACTTCAAAAGCTAGTGGAGAAAATGGATTAGTCAGCAGATGGTATTTTAAAAATTGCTAATTGCCATCAGCAAATCATCAAACAAGTGCTGGTGAGGGTGTGGAGAAAAGGGGACTCTAGTACACTGCTGGTAGGAATGCAGACTGGTGCAGCCACTATGAAAAACACTATGGTGTTACCTCAAACAGTTAAAAATTGAACTGCCATTTGACCCAGTGATCCTACTTCTAGGAATATACCCCAAGAAACCTGAAACACCTATGTTCACAGGAGCACTACTTAAAATCACTAAGATCTGGAAACAGTTCAAGTGTCCACCAGTAGATGAGTGGATAAAAAAGCTATGGTACATATATACAATGGAATACTATACAGTTGTAAGAAAGAAAAATCTCTTATCCTTTGAGATGACATGGAGGGACCTCAAGAGTATTATCCTAAGCGAAACAAGCTAATCAGAGAAAGACAAATATCACATGATTTCATTTATTTGTGGAATATAGTGAATAAAACAAACTGATGGAACAAAATAGACCCAGAGACATAGAAGTAGGGTACAGACTGACAAACCTCAGAAGAGGGGATGGGGGTGGGAAGGAAGAGACAAACCACAGAACTTACATGCATGTACGTGTAACCAATGGACATAGACAACAATGCTGGGGACCAGGCAAGGGGAGGGGGTGGAGGAGGGTGTCAATGGGGGAAAAAGGAGAAACATCTGAAACAAAAATAAATTAAAAAAAAAAAAAAAATTGCTGCCCTGGCCCGTTTGGCTCAGCGGTTAGAGTCAGCCTGTGGTCCAGAGAGACATGGGTTAGGTTCTCGCTAAGGGTGTGTACCTCGGTTGCAGTTTGTCCCCAGCCCTGGTTGGTCGTGCAGGTGGTAGCCACTCAAAGTGTCTCTTTCACATCGTCACGTTGATGTTTCTCTCTCTGTCGCTCCCCCTCCCTCCCTCTTCCTCCCACTCTATCTAAACAAAAATGGAAAAATGTCCTTGGGTGAGGGAAAAAAAACAAGATTGCTAACCACTTAGAAAAACACTTGAATCCCTATTCCATACCTAATAGCAGAAGGATTAGTTTTAATCGTCAAAACATAAAAGTACCAGAAAAACAACTGCTATTTAAAAACCTTGGAATGACAAAGGCCTTTCAAAATCTGAAGGACATCAGAGGAAAGTTGGACAATTAAAAACACACAGCTTCCAGATAAGACTTAAGATTATAAAGTAAACTTGGAAAAATTATCTACAATCTATTTATTGGGAGTAACCTACCTTATACAGATAACCGAAAAGAAAAAAAATGAGCAAAAATCATAAATAGGCAGATTTAGACAAACGATAAATATTTTTTAAAAAGTTCAATATCATGAATAACTTAAAAAGCAAAATGAAATAAGATTGTAGTATTAAGTTCAATGTTGATGAAGGCATGGAGAAACACAAGTATTTCTACTGGCGGGCAATTTAGCAGTACCCATTACGTATACTTGAAAATGTTCTTGCTCTATGGCCAACATTACATACACTCAGAAAATTATTCTACAGCAAAAGTACCTAAGTTGCATGTATAAAAATTGTTTTGAAGCCAAAAGATTGGAAACCATGTAAATGTCCATAAATAAGGATGGCTTGCTATGGCATAGTATACAGCCACCAAAAAGAAGTAGGTTTCTACCCTGGCTGGTTTGGCTCAGCAGTTAGAGCATCAGCCTGTTGATCAATGAGTTGCAGGTTCGATTTGATCAAGGGCCCGCAACCGGGTTGCGGTTCATCCCCGGCCCTGGGCAAGGTCGTGTGGGAGGCAACCTTTCTCATGTCCATGTTTCTCTCTCCCTCCCTCCCTCCCTCCCACACTAATAAGAAAAAAAGAAAAAGAAAAAGAGGTAGGTTTCCACACGTTTACACAGAAAATTTCCAAGATACATCAGGCTCAAAAAGAATATTCTATGCTGCCCAGCTGGTGTGGCTCAGTGGCAAAGCGTTGACTCATGCACCAAGAGGTTGTCAGTTTGATTCCCAGTGGGAGAACATGCCCAGGTTGTGGGTCAGATCCCAATTATGGGGTGGGGGAGCAGGCAGGAGGTGGCCAATCAATGATCTCTCTTCCTAAAATAAAGTTAAAAAGAATATTCTATGAGGTATCCCCAGTATTAAGAAACATGTCTGGCTTACAGTAAGTACTTAACATATCCTTAAAAGAAATTTTTTTTCTTTATTGATTTGAGAGAGAGAGGAAGAGAGAGATACAAACATTGATGAGAAAGAACACTGATTGGCTGCCTCCTGCATGCCCCCCACTGGGGATTTGGCCCACAACCTGGGCATGTGCCCTAACCAGGAATCCATCAGTGACCTCTTGGTGCTTGGGTTGACGCTCAACCACTGAGCCACAGTGGCAGGGTTTTAACATATCTTTTGAATGAGTAATCCAATAAATGAGATAGATAAATCATTCAGAAAACTATCAATTTAACAGTGATCTATGGGATAGGTTCATGGGGGGTCCCACATTGTTTCATATTTGCTTTGATATTTAAAAATAACTTATTACCAGAGTATTTGTTTTGTGCCTAAATAAACAAAAATCCCATTCAAAAAAATTTACCTTCATTTAACAGGCTAAAACTGTTATAAATAAAACCAGTTAGTGAGTGGCACATCCATGTCTCAAGCCCAAGTCTAAGTTCAGTGTTTTCCCCTGCTCTATCCCTAATGCCTATCCAGAAAATAACTTTCCAATAATCGCAGCCTATAGTTAGTTACACACTTGGCTCAGTGACAAAAAATATTTGCTGACCTTTATTCTAAGAACTTATTTTGCATTCTGCATCACCCTAACCTAAATATAGAATGATCAAAAGATCAATTGCACATTACAATCCTGGAAAATAACTGGAGACCAAAATAACTTAGATAAATAGAGTGGATTCCATCAATCAGAAAAGATCTAAGATAATAAACATTACACATCCATATTTGTAGAGTACAAATCTTAATGAGAGCCTATCTCTACTTCTCAGTTAATAATTTGAATTAAAGGACAAAAATAAAGGAAACTCACTCATTTTACCTCTTCTGAAAAGAAAGAGTATTTCATGAAAAGTTAAACCCTTAGGTTGTGGTTATTTCTAAAAAATAGGATATAATTAAATGACATTTTATTTTCATGTATACATCAAGTACCATGGTTAAGTCATTTCTACCACTTCAAACCTGGAAGGGTAATTTAAACCAGTGTTTCTCAATCTTTTTTCTATTGCCCCTCTGAGAAACATTGTAAGACATTTTCCTGACACCCACGATGAAATTTTAATACTAGATATCCTGTATATCAACTTACATATGCTATGTATATCTGTGCTTTACACATTGAAAGAATAAAACTGTTTTTAAACACATCTTTTACCAAAAACCAATTTTCACCCCGCTAGGAGCAATATATCCCATGTTGAGAATGCATGTACGAACAGCAATAATATATGGTGAATTTTTGTTTCTTTCAATTCTAGAAATACCCCCAGCACCAAATTTAGTAGAGAAAGGTTTATAGAAGACACAGAACCAACTATGTGTTAAGTATGTCTTCTGACAGCTAATATCTCTACGACAAACGCAGGCTTTGCAAAGCTTAAAATCTTGTTTCTATCTTGAGGCTCCTGTATCATACTGTACATCCTTTATATGGCAATTTAAAGATATGAAAAATATAACTCATAGATTCCTTCTTTCACCTTTAAGATTCCTACCTCCTTTCTCACTGTCGTAGTGTGAAGCATCAAACTGAGCATCATCATTAGGGAGCTGCACACTGGCTATCACAAGGTGGTTTTGTTCATCCGACGTGTGTGTCCCCAGGACAAGTCGATGAATGCTGAAATCTTTCCCTTCTGGTCTGTAATAGCAATATATGGTCACTATTCAAATTAGTAACACTAAGAGAGACTTCAAAGTCAGTGATAAACATCTATGCAAAAGGAACCATTACAACCAGATCTTGGGAAGAGAAAGTCATTTTCTACCTTTTTTTTCTTTATTGATTTTAAAGAGAGAGGAAGGAAGAAGGAGAGAGACAGAAACATCAATGAGAGAGACCATCGATTGGCTGCCTCCTGCATGCCCCACTGGGGACTTGGCCCACAACCTGGGCATGTGCCCTGACCAGGAATTGAACCGGTGACCTTTTGGGGCATGGGTCAACGCTCAACCACTGAGCCAAACTGGCCAGGAATGTTCTACCTTTTTTTCTAGAGTGGGAGGGAGGGAGGAAAATGGAGAAAGAGAAGTATCGATGTGAGAGAGACACATCGACTAGTTGCTTCCTGCAGGACCCCACCAGGGCCGGGGACTGAACCGCAACCAAGGTACGTGCACTTAATCGGAATCGAACCCGAGACTCTTTGATCCGTGGGCCAATGCTGCAATGGCTGGGCCAAACCAGCCAGGGTGGGATTTTCTACTTTTAATGTAACTGCCATAGAACCAAGTATAAGAAAAACCACACAGCACTTAATTTTGTAAGTATAGTAAATTCTCGCTTAACATCATTGGTAAGTTCAGTGACTTTAAGCAAAACAACATACAATAAAGCCAATTTTACCACATGCTGATATAAACAAGAGTTAAGTTCCTATGGCATCCCATCAACTTTATAATAAAGAAAATATTATTCAAGGTCTTGCTGTATTTAACTTGATAAAAAATTTACAATTACTTTGGGGAAAAGGGCTAACAAAGTAAAATGTGAATTTACTCATCCTTTACAATTGGTTGGATATAAAGAAAAATTATTGGGTACTCTACTACTTCAGGTTACTTCTTTAGATTAACCTCATCAAAAGGGAAAGAAAATAACATTAGGTAAATTAATTGTTCAAATATTTCCTAACTGCCTAATCAATAGACACATTGCTCCAAATACTGTGAAAGTATAATGATTAAGATGTGATTCTTGCCAGGCCAGTGTGGCTCAGTGGATTGAGTGTAGTCCCATGGACTGTGAAGTCCCGGTTAAATTCCCATTCAGGGCACATGTCTGGGTTGTGGGCTCGATCCCCATTGGGGTCGTGCAGGAGGCAGCTGCATCAATGTTTCTCTCTCCCTTCGTCTCTAAAAAAATCAATAAAAACATATTTTTTAAATAAAAAAATAAAAATCAATATTCTTAAAAAAATAAAATAGAAGATTACTTCTGTAATGAAGGAAGTGTTCATGGAAGAGGTGATCTTGAGCCAGTCTCAAAATAAGAGATAAAATCTGGAAGAGTGGGACATGGGCTTTGAAAGAGAAGTAGGTATTCCAAGAAAAATGGAACTGAGCAAAAGGGAAGGTATACAGAGTGCCAGATATCATGTTAAGCACTACACATACCTTGTATCGTTTAAATACTGTATTAAACAACTTGCCTTAGAGCACACAACTACTAAGTAACAGAACTAGGACAAGTCCGATAAATCTGACTATGGGTATGGGAAAACACAGTGGGAGAGAAGGCTAAAAAACATTAAACTCACTCTAGGAGAAAGTTGGGATGGGACCTTCCCATAAAGAATATATTCAGTCTGAGCCCAGCCGGCATGGCTCAGTGGATTGAGCGTTGTCCCATGGACCGAGAGGTCCCGGTTCAATTCCAAGTCAGGGCACATGCCCAGCTGTGGGTTCGATCTCCAGTGGGGGGTGTGTGTGTGTGTGTGTGTGTGCAGGAGGCAGTCAATCAATGTTTTCACATCACTGATTCTCTTTCCCTTCCTCTCTCTAAAAAAATCAACAAAAATAGCCTGGCCAGTGTAGCTCAGTGGTTGAGCCTTGACCCATGCACTAGGAGGTTGCTGGTTCAATTCCTGGTTGGGGCATGCAAGAGGTGACCGACTGATGCTCTCTCTCATCGATATTTCTCTCTCTCTAAAACCAATAAAGAAATAAAAATTAAACCTAGTGCCCTGATACCATAGTTCTTATATTACTATATTCCCTATGCTGTACTTTACATCCCCTTGACTATTTTTTTTCTCACATGTTTTTATTGATTTTTTTTGAGAGAGGAAGAGAGACAGATAGAAACATCGATGTGAGAGAGATACATAGATCAGCTGCCTCCTGCACGCCCCCCACTGTGGACCAAGCCCATAACCTGGGCATGTGCTCTAACTAGGAATTGAACCAGGACCTCAGTCCATGGTATGACGCTCAATCTACTGAGCCACACGGCTGGGCCCCTTGACTATTCTGTAAACTACCAATTTGTACTTCTTAATGCCTTCACCTTTTCACTCAGCCCCCCAATCCCTCCCCCATCTGACAACAGTCAAAATGTTCTCTGTATCTGAGTCTATTTCTGTTCTGCTTGTTTTTTTTTTTCTGATTCCACATAAGTTAAATAATATATGGTACTTGTCTTTCTCTATCTGACTTATTTCACACAGCACAATACCCTCTAGATCTGTCCATGTTGTTGTAGATGGAAAGATTTCATTCTTTTTTATGGCTGATTTTGATGATCAATTGAATATGGGAACTCCTGGTAATAGTAAAGAAACTTCCAACTAAAAATGCTACCGTTGAGGTAGCAGCTTCATTCTTTTTTCCCCACCTGAGGACATTTTTGCATTTATCTTCAGATAGAGGGGGAGAAAGAGAGGGAGGAAGAGAGAGAGAAACATTGACGGGAGAGAGACACATCGAGTGGTTGCCACCCACACAGCCCCAACTGGGGCCAGGGACAAACTGCAACCAAGGTACATGCCCCTAGCAGGAACTGAACCCAGTCCTCTCTGGTCCACAGGCCGCTAAGCCAAACCGGCCAGCAGCTTCATTCTTAACTAACTAGTAAAATTTATATCAGATTTCTACTACTTGAGCTAAAGACCTAAGACTGAAGGAGTTTATTTTTTAGTATACATAAAATATAATTTTTAAGTGTTATTCTGAAACTCAAACAATTTTATAATAGGAAATCCATTATTCCAACAGGCACACTGGTTTTGCTAAAACTTGAGCATTTCCTCACACCCCAAGTTGAAGTAATTTTTCCTTCCTCTCATCATTTTGTTTGTTTGTTTTAATAATCCTCACCCAAGGACATGAAGGAAAATTTTGATTTACCTTCAGATAGAGTTGGGGAGAAAGAGAGAGAAACATCAACTGGTTGACTCCTGCACAACCCCTACCAGGGCCAGGACTGAAATGCCACCAAGGTGCATGGAACTGAACCCGTGACACTTTGGTCCACAGGTGAATGCTCCAACCCCTGAGCCAAACCGGCCAGGGCCCTTCCTCTCATCGTTTTGTCTTTGCCACTCTGGTGATAATTTTTTAAATTTATAGGTTACATATATGAAGTCAAGGCAGGGAAGGATCTGATTTAAATTTGTATGCCTTGGCAAGTGGCACCTAGACCTTCAATAAATGTAAGGTAAATTAAGTATTTTATCTTCTCTATTAGAGGTAAGCTACCCACTAGTAATAAATATATGTGATTAATTTCTCCCCATGCACAATTCCCTCATGTGCAAACCATCCCACCTTCAGGTGTTAGTTCTAAGCATCCTAAGTATCTTTCTAAAACTGTTCTGAGCACGTGCCACTACAATTACTAGTTACACCTGCTTCTTCAACTAGACTGTGCTCCTTACAGGCGGGTACCACATCATTTCCATCTTTTTATGAACCGGCTACAACCAGTGGCTGTGAGATGAAAAGAACTGGGCACATCGTAACTTTCTGAAAGCTGACAAGTTTTCCATCACTTGGTTCGCTATAGTTATAATATAGCTATTCAACCCAGTATCAGAAAACGGGCACAGCGTGTTTTCTCTTATCAGGTAAAAGAAAGTTAATTTTTACATTTTGACCACTTTTTGGCCTAGGGGAAAAAAAAAAAGTCACCAACAGATTTTTGATCACGTGCCCCTAGAGGTGCCTGGAGAGAAAACAGGGAAAATTAATGTGAGAAAGCTACACTGAGGACACAGCAAACAACGTTCATGAGACTCGTATCACCTGGTTACATCTGGAAGCCACTGTGCAGTTAAGCTGGGCCACTCCAGAGCATGGGTCATCACCAAATCGTACAGGAAAGGGGTGTTCTTTTTCCATATTTTGTACTCTTCGTTGATCACACGTTCTTCTACTGCGTCATCAAAGGCTGCTAAAAAACAAAAACAAAATTAAGTTAGCGGACACAAGAGAAACCGAGACAACACTTCCAAAGCTCCGGGGACGGCTCCGGAGTCCTGCTACGGAGCTGGTTTGTCTAAATTTCCCCTGTGCGGAGGCACCAGCAACCCCTCCGCCTTCGCGGGGTGGAAGTCGGCTCGGCTCAGCCCGGCCAGATACTCCGTTAGCCTTTCGGATAACGGCGCCGGGCCTCGGAAACACGCTCCCCTACGCGGTAAGTCTACGGGACCTGCGAGGAGGCCCGATACCGACCACCGGGTGTGGGGAGCGGTGCAGGACAGACCGGGCGAGAGGCGTGCAGACCGACAGGGAGCGCAAGAAGGGACCGAGCACCCGCCCGGGCCCGCACCGCCAGCTTCGCGCCGCTGCGCCGGGCCTGCTCTCCAGAGGAGGTGGCGCGCCGTTAGCCCGCCTCGCGGGGTGATTTCGCCTCACGCCTTCGATGGTGTGGACGGCACTCAGCCGACTCTCGGGCCTGCTCTCACTGTTAGGCCGTGTGGAGGCCGCGGCGCAAGCCCGGCACCCCTCGTCCTCCTGGGGCAGCTCAGGCATCCTCACCTTCCTTGTCGGCCATGGCGGGCAGGCAAGCCAGTGGGATCCCGAGGTCTACCGTTGCGGGAGGGGCGGGGAGGCTACGAGCGCTCGCTCTCCGCGCGCGGCCTCTATTGTTTCCTGCTGCCCCTGGGTGAGGGCTGACTCGCGTACCTTCGCGCCAACACCAGCCAATCAGAGTGCACGGAATGACGAGGTGGGCGGGCAATCCTCGTTTGCAGCCTATCCAGACGCATGGAGTCGCTCTCCACGGAGCCGAGGCGCGCGCTCCGCTCCTGCCCCTACCCCTCCACCCTTCCCCCCCACCCCCCGGCCAAGGCCTGGAGCCGACTTCCTCCGATTGCGCGGGCGCGAGGTTGTGGGAGTGCACCCGGGGTCACGTGAGTAGTTTAGTCGGCCCTCTCCCGGGGGCAGCCATTTTCTTAAAGGCTGTTAATTAACGAGCTCTTCAAAGTACTCAGATGAGAAACCTCCGGTGCTTTCTGGTCTAGTAGTTATCAACTGAGGCACCAAGAAAAGTCCTCTATCACTCAGACCTAGGAGTGTCTAATGCACTCCTCACTCACAGGTCCTCCAATTTATTTGTTTCCTTAGTCCTCAGAAAGAACCATTGATGAAGCAAGCCCAGAAAATGGGGTCTTGACTTTTTAAAGGTGTGTTCTAAGCGACGGCTAGAATGGAAATCTTCGGGGATAAAGTATGTCCCTGAGAAGTCCCGGTGCTTTAAGGGTGTATGCCAAGGGGCGGAGTCTATAGCGGAAGTTGGAAGTCAGTACCGAAGTCCAACTGATGAAGGGCGGAAGTAGAGTGTTCACTCCCGCAATCATGGCGCAGGAAAAGGAAGATATTAGGGACTACAATTTGACTGAGGAGCAGAAGGCGACCAAGGCCAAGTACCCTCCAGTCAATCGGAAGTACGAGTGTGAGTAGGTGGCTAATTTCTTTCATCTAGTTTTCTTGCCTGTGGCTTCCGGCCTCGCTTACCACTTTTCCCCGTAAGGTGCTTCAGGCATGATCCCGTTTCGCCCTGTATTATAGTCTCATGTGTACTTGTTGGGGAATGCTGAAAAGAAGCCACCCGGGAAACTGGGCTCTCACTTTTACAATCTCCTGAACTTTTTTTTACATATGCCTAATCACTTTATCTTGTTGGAATGCTAGTGTATTAATTCTAAAGATAACCGTATTTCCAGAAGTTTATCTCCCCCTTGTATCTCCAACAGTGGGATAGAGTGTGGCTAGGTTAGAGGACTCGGAAAGCTAAGTAGGGGACTTAAAACTTGTTTTTTACCTGCGTCGTGTTAATAAAATGATTTGGCGAGCTTCTGGTAGGTATTGCCCAGGCGCTGGATCACCGGCCTCCACGTCCACCACTGTCCTAGTTTGTCAGCTAAAGAATACGTAGTGCCTCAGCGCTGATACGCCTGTTTATCAACTAAAGAATACGTAGTGCCTCAGCGCTGATACACCTCTGTTTATCAACTAAAGAATACGAAGTGCCTCAGCGCTGATACACCTCTGTTTATCAACTAAAGAATACGAAGTGCCTCAGCACTGATACGTCCCTGCGGGTGCTCCGCCCACATGCTCCTCTCACTCCCTTAGTAATTAGACTGCTGTTCCTCACCAGGCTCAACAAATGAGATAATAAATACGAAAGTATAGTGCAGATCTTTGAAGTTTTATATAGACGTTAAACTGTCATCCCCAAAAGTGGCTGTAGTCTGGGGAGCACCAGTCTGACTTATTTACCTCTTTAAAATCTTTCTTTTTTATTGACTGATTTTAGAGATGGAGAGAGAAAGAAAAACATTTAGTTTGTTGTTCCACTTACTGGTGCATTCATTGATTGATTTTTGTGTGTGCCCTGACCAGGGTGGAACCTGCAACCTTGGCATATCTGGACGATGCTGTAACAAACTAAGCTACCTGGCCAAGGCCCTGCTTAAAATCTTCATTAATTTCCCATTGTCCTCTGTGTCTATTTACCATAGCATACTAGTTTTGACCTTGCATATTTCCCTAGTTCATTTTTTTCTCACTGAAAAACAATTTTTATTTTATTTATTTTTTTCCCTTTTATTGATTTTAGAGAGAGAGGAAGTGAGAGGGAGAGAGAGATAGAAACATTGATGAGAGAGCCCAGCCAGTGTGGCTCAGTGGATTGAGCACCATCCCATGGACTGAGAGATCTTGGTTGGATTCCTGGTCAGGGCAGGTGCCCAGGTTGCAGGCTCAATCCCCAGTAGGGGGTGTGCAGCCTATCAATGTTTCTCTCTCACATTGATGTTTCTAGCTCTCTCTCCCTTCCTCTCTCAAAAAATCAATAAAAACATATTTAAAAAAAAAAAGAAACATTGATGACAGAGAACATTGACCGGTCACCTCCTGCATGCCCCCCACTGGGAATCGGGCTCACAACCTGGTCATGTGTCCCGACTGGGAAGCAAACCAGTGACTTCTTGGTGCATGGGTTGATGCTCAACCACTGAGCCACAGCAGCCGGACTGAAAAACAATTAAAAAATATTTTTTTTTTCTTTATTGATTTTTAGAGAGAAAGGAAGGGAGAGGGAGAGAGAGATAGAAACACTGATGAGAGAGAACATGGATGGGCTGCCTCTTGCATGACCCCATTGGGGATCGGGCCCACAACCTGGGCATGTGCCCTGACCAGGATTCGAACCAGCGACCTCTTGGTGCATGGGTTGACGCTCAGCCACTGAGCCACACCGGCCAGGCTGAAAAACAATTTTTAAAAATTACTTTTCATAGGTTGTATATATGATTCAAAATTCAAAAAGTACAACAAATATGCATTGAAAAGTCTTTCAGCCCTGATCCCAAGCTACCTGGTCTTCCTCACTAGAGTCGATCTGTGTGCATGTAAAGACTTTCCAGCATTTACTTTAACCAATTTCCAACTGATGCACACTTATGAAATTTTCACTATTTTGCTATTAGACACAATGCAGCAATGAATATACTTGTACATGTTGGTTTTGCACATGTGCAAGTATTTGTAGGATACATTTCTAAAAGTTACATTGCTTTGTCAAAGGATATGTGCATTTTTAATGTCAAAGTTATTGCTAAATTGTTCTCCATTGAGGTTGTTCCAGTTTATACACTTAATAGCGTTGCATTATTGTGCCTCTTTCCTCACACCTTTACCAATTTACTGGTTTAACATACTTTTTGGTCTTTTCCAACTTGTTAATTATCTTATACTAATTGCATTTTTCTCATTGTAGGTAAGGTTGAACATATTTTAATATGTTTGGAGTTATTTGTATTTCTTTTTCTGAGATGTGTATATTCATATTTTTTTTATCCTCACCCAAGGTCTTTTTTTTTTTTTTTTTGCATTTATCTTCAGATGGTACTGGAGGGAGAGAGAGAGAAACATCTATGTGAGAGAGACACATTGACTGGTTGCCACCTGCACAATCCCAACCAGGACCGGGGACAAACTGCAACTGAGGTACGTGCCCTTAGCGGGAACCAAACCCCAGGTCTCTCTGGACTGCGGGCTGACGCTCTAACTGGTAAATCAAACTGGCCAGGGCGTATATTCATATTCTTTACCCATTTTTCTTTTTAATTTTTTTTCTTTATTGATTTTAGAGGGAGAGGGAGACAGAAACATCGATGTGAGAGAGAAACATGGATCTGCTGCCTCCTGCATGCCCCCCCCACTGGGAATGGGGTCCAAAACCCCAGCATGTACCCTGACTGGGAATCGAACCGGTGACCTCTTGGTGCGTGGGTTAACACTCAACTAGTGCTGCACCTGGGCTTGAAGTCTAACATTGTAAAGTAGCCTGGCCTGTGGAGTCATTGTGTATTCCCTTTATGTTGAGTTTTTTTTTTTGTTAATCCTCACTCGAGGATATTTTTTCATTAATTTTTGGATAGAGTAGGAAGGAGGGGAGAGAGAGAAACATTGATGTGAGAGAGAGAGAGAGACACATCTATTGGTTGACTCCCACAGGGCCCCAACCAGGGCTGGGGACCTGCAACCTACAACCCAGTTACGTGCCCTTGATCAGGAATCAAACCCATGACCCTTCAGTCCCTGGGCTGACACTCTAACTGCTGAACCAAACTGGTCAGGACCTTACAGACTTTTCTACCACACAAGATATAGAGTTAAGAGTTCATTGTTTCAGCTTCAGATTTCACATTGTTAACTAACCTTTAAAAACTACCACATTTTGCCCTGGCTGGATTGGCTCAGCGGTTAGAGCATCGGCCTACGGACCAAAGAATCACGGGTTCGCTTTCCTTTCAAGGGCAGGTACCTGGGTTGCAGGTTTGATCTCCAGCTCTGGTCAGGGTTGTGCAGAAGGCAGCCAGTCAATGTGTGTTTCTCACTCTCACAGTGATATTTCTCTTTCTTCCTCTCTCTCCCCCTTCTACTCTATCTAAAAATCAATGAGAAAATATCCTCGGGTGAGAATTAACAAAAAATAAATAAATAAATAAACTTGCAAAAATGCTAAACAATGACACTTTTCTCACTAAGTTTTTTTTTAAATACTGTTATTTTCTCATAATATATGCAATTTTATGTTAAATGAAATACACTTGTTAATTTTTTTGTTATTAATTCTTCATTGTTGTCATATGTAATCAATAATTTAGCTTCTACCTTACAGTATTTTGTCTCGTACATTATTCAAAACTCATAGATTAGTCCATCATATTATGGTACAAAGATTTCAGTTGAAATTACCATTATACATTTGTTTCTGGGTTGAGGACAAATGCATCTTCTGTGATCATCAGGATATTGAGCCATTCTGGCCTCTATAAATGCAACAGTTGACCTTTCTTACAGAATTGTATGGTAGTCAGTGCATTATCATCTTATTTGCATCTTTAAATATTTAGTCATAAGTAATATTGGCCTATAAAATAAATTTATAGACAATTACAAATTGCCACAATCACAATTATTTATGAAGAAAAAAACATTTAAAATGGCAAAGGAGCCCTGGCCAGAGTGGTTCAGTTGGTTGAGCATCATCCCATGTACCAAGAGGTTGCTGGTTTGATTCCTGGTCATAGTACGTGCCCAGGTTTTGGGCTCAGTCCCCAGGGGAGGGCATTCAGGAGGCAGCCAGTTGATGTTTCACCTTCTCTATCTCCCTTCCATTCTCTCTATAAAATCAATAAAAACATTTAAAAAAATAAAATAGCAAAGGACATCAGCAACAATAAGTACAGATGTTGAGGACTTTTGGAAATGTAAAACTGAGTACCTTTCTTCATGTAGCATCATAGTTAAGAGGCTTGTCTTTGCAGCTAGAAAACACAGGTTCCACCTTGGCTAATTTGGCTCAGGTTAGAGCATCGGCCCTTCCTTACCTTGAGGTAAACACTGTTCTGATATTTGTCATCATAGCTAATATTGCCTGTTTTAGAGTCTTATATAGGCCTGACCGGTGCTGCTCAATAATTAGAGCATCGGCCCTCACACCAAATGGTCACACATTTGATTCCTGGCCCTGGTCTGGTGCATGCAGGAGGCAACCAATCCATATGTCTCTCTTACATTGATGTTTCTCTCTCTCTCTCCCCTTACCCCACCCTCCCTCCCTTCCACCCTCTCTAAAAATCAATGGAAAAAATATCCTTGGGTGAGAATTAACCAAAAAAAGCGTCTCATATAAGTGGAATCATAGTATATTTTCTTTTATGTCTGGCTTACTCACTCAGTATTAAAGATAAACACAACTGGATGTTAAAGTGATGAACTAATACTATTCAGTAACTACTGACAGTAGGGGAAAGAGTTGAGCTCCATTCTGATTTGTGCACAGCTGATTGGGCCTTTTAAAGGGAGAATGAGGGACTTTGGAAGAGTGGGGAGCTCAGTAGAGACTGATAATTGAAAATTTACAAAAGGTTGGATCAGTGTAAATTCGATTAGGCCAGCAGTGTTTGCTAGCTGGCAGTTATCAAAGTTAGGATTCTATCCTCCCACAGAGACATAGTCCTTTCTGGTGATTACATTTCCAAGGAATGGCTCTGGAGTCCTTGAAAAAGACATTTCTGGGCTGTAAGAGATAAATATTCACAACGTAAGCCCTTTTCAGTAAATGCTCTAAGAAACAGAGATCAAGGGCCTATGGTCAGGTGTTGGCTAGAACAAATAGTAAATTCTTCTGGCTATGTTTCACTTTCTCAGGCAGACAATGTAATGGGGGTAGGAATGAGGGGTCTAATCCTAGGAAGGCTTTAGGCTGCTAGAAACCATGTTCAAGTTTGGCCAGGCCTCTCAGTGCAGAACCTTTGGATTGACTTGTTAGGTACTGGGAGTTCTGCAGTTTTCACTTAACGTTTTTGAGATTCATGTTGATACAGTATCAGTAGTTCATACATTTTTATTGCTGAGTAGTATTGCATTGTATTCCTCAGTTTGTTTTATCAGTTCTTTCGACAGACATTAGGTTTTTAATTTGGGGGAATAAAATTGCTGTGAATATTCTCATATGTAATTTTGTGAATACATGCTTTCATTTGTCTAGGGTTAATAGTCATTTTCTTTTAACTTGTCATCTCTGCTGGTCATGAACTCCTTAATGCCTGAAACATTAAGTTCTCAGTAATATATCTGAGTGAATTAGAGATGAGTTTGAACCTTGAGTTCCACCAGAAGATGATATGTTATAGTGTAAAGATTACTAAATTGGGAGTCAGAAAAGCACAATTTTAGTCCCAACTCTACCTCTACTCAATAGTGTAATCCTGAACAAGTAATATAATCTATGGATTTCAGGTTTCTTCTTGTAAGTGAAGGAATTATATATATATTAAATGATCTCCAAGACTTCCTACCATCCCAAATATTCTGTGATTCTAAGTGGGAAGAATTGATGGAAGTCATAATATGAGTGAAGATAGACTGAAATGTTGAGATAACAGGTCCACTGGGAGCTCGCTATATTGGCAGTTGTTACTGGTATTCCTGTGAGAATATCAGGAAAAAGCTCATAATACATATTGTATAGTTTACTTTCTAAAACTATTTAATTGGCCAAGGATATCATTGAGGAGCACTTCAAATGCAAGAAATCAACAAATAAAAAACTTGGCACTTGTTTTAAAAAAAGAAACAACACGTCTAGAATTTGGCTACCTGTTCATGAAAAGGTGAGACAGGGAAATACAGAATTTTATATCTTCGATGACGATATAGTGTCTAGAATTTTGATCATTCACACAGTAGCTATTTAGAAAAGATATTGAGCCCAGCCAGTGTGGCTCAGTGGTTGAACACCAGGTTGCCAGTTCAGTTCCCGGTCAGAGCACATGCCCAGGTTGTAGGCCAACTCCCCAATGGGGAGCATGCAGGAAGCAGTATTCTCCCTCATTGATGTTTCTATCTCTCCCTCTCCCTTCCTTTCTCCTTCAAGTTAATAAAGAAAAAAAATGTTTTTTAAATGTTTTACATTTGAAAAAAGAAAAGATACTGATTTGTGAGGAAAAGTAATGTCAGGAAATGACATTTGTTTATTGGGAAACTATGATGTATTAGACACTTTTTAGATCACCTAGAAGACCTTGGCTCTGCTGCCTTCCAGAAATTGTCATTCTTTTAAATCTAAATTTTGGGGGTTTCCGGTATAGGTTGGGGGGAAAATGGCAGTGGTCACCGAGTTCCCGGCTCTGACGCCGGTGAGGAGAGTGGAGGCTCTATGATCCTAGGCGAGGCACGGTGGAGACTGAGTGTGTCTTCCTCCGCAGTCTTGGAGACCGCTAGGAGCATCCAACTGCCTGATAGCCCAGGGCAAGGTCAGACTCATGGAGAGGTCGATCTTGCTCTCGCAAAATTAGGAGATTCAAGCCTCTTCTACCCTGTCCTCGAGCCCACTGTGTGCCTGTCTTGTAGTACAGTTGAACAATTAGTCTTCCTGCGAGACCCAATAGGAGCACCTATTGCCCAGATGCTCGCTCTGTCAAGGCAACACCTGGTGTCTCCTTTGTTCAGCATGACATCGTTCAGCCTTTTCTACAGAGGTGACAGTCTGACAGATTCCCAGAAAGATAGGATTGAAATCCCTTTGCCTCATGGCAGGAGCGAACTGATGAATCCATAGAAACCAGAAGAGCCTGCCTGCTCTATGAGAGCAGAAAGAGGGGAATGCTGGAAAACTGCTTTCTGCTTAGCCTCTTTGCTAAAGAATATCTGCAACACATGACAGAGAAACAGCTGAACCTCTATGATCGCCTCATTAATGAGCCCAGTAATGACTGGGATATTTACTATTGGGCTACAGAAGCAAAACCAGCTCCAGAAATATTGGAAAATGAAGTCATGGCACTGCTGAGAGACTTTGCTAAACACAAAAAGAACAGAGGCTGCGTGCCCCAGATCTTGAATACCTCTCTGAAAAGCGACTTTGAGCTGCGCACCTCCCGCTTTTGGGGCTCAGTCCCTGGAGCCCACTGCTTAGGATGGATACTGGTTTTGACTTCCTACTTTTTCCCTTAGACACTCAGCTCACCCAGACCATTCATCCTGCCCCAAATGACGGACCACTTCTCTTCCAGGACATGTAAATGTACAGTGTCTCATTCTGACACTTTTTTTGTTCAGTTCTAGGCCTCAAAGGGGTTTAGAAATGCGAGGGCTGCCTCTAGTACACATAGGAGTGAAATTGCCTTTAAAATTAAGATTCACCTGCAACCAACAATGCTGAATTTGCTTTCACTAGTTGTTCTGAAATCAAGTATTTAAAAAAGAAGCAGATTTTGTGTGATTTCATAAATGTGTATCTATTTTACCGATAGAAAACAGATAAAAGAAAAACTGCAGTATTAAAAAAATAAATAAATGTAAATTTTGGGATTATTGAAAGATAACTCTTTAACATTAATGTGCTAATATTATGTTACTATTAGTTCTTTAGCCATTTATTTGATTCATATTAACAGAATAACAACTGTGAAGTCTTAGAAGAAATTTTCGTAATTAAAAATAACCTTGCCCTGGCTGGTTTGCTCAGTGGTTAGAGCATTGGCTTGTGGACCAAAGAGTCCCGGGTTCGATTCTGGCCAAGGGCACATACCTTGGTTGCAGTTTGTCCCTGGCCCCGGTTGGGGTCGTGCTAGTGGCAACCAGTCGATGTGTCTCTCACTCAATGTTTCTCTCTCCCTGTCTCTCTCTCCCTCCCACTCTGTCTGAAGATAAATGTAAAAACAATATCCTTGGGTGAGGATTAAAGAAAAAGAAAAATAACCCTTCATAGCCCTGGCTGGTTTTGCTCAGTGGTTAGAACATAGGCCCGGGGACCAAAGAGTCACGGGTTCGATTCTGGTCAAGGGCACGTGCCTTGGTTGCAATTCGGTCTTTGGCCCTGGTCGGGGTTGTGCAGGAGGCAACCAATTGGTGTGTGTGTGTGTCTTTCTCTCCCTCCCCCTTCCACTCTGTCTGGAAAAAACAAAAAATAAAAACCCTTAGTAAAGCAATTAACTTCTGTGTAAATGGATAGCAAAAGGTATGATCTGCCCACATTTTTTCTCTCTTTAAGGTTGATGTTCTTAATAATGAACTAGAATTATTTTCTTGTGATTAGCATATAAGGTTTAGTTACTTATAAGTGTTTTTCATTCTCTCCCTCAGATTTGGATCATACAGCAGATGTCCAGTGAGTATAGCTGGAGTTTATTATGCCTTTGAAACCGTATGCTTAAATAAGAAGTCTGATGTTTTAATCTCGGTGTCCCAGTTTTAACTTTCCTCCTGTTTTGGTTCCTTTTAGAACATGAAAATGATGGTTTAAAAGCACCCAGTTTCAGTGCCATTAAATTGATTTAAGGCCTTTGATTTTAGATACATATATATATGTATATATATTTTTTAATATATTTTTATTGCCTGGACGGTGTGGCTCACTGATTGAGCATTGACCCATGCACCCAGAGGTCGCTGGTTCGATTCCCTCTCTTTCTCTCTCTAAAAATCAATAAAGAAAAAATTTTTTTTTACTGTTTTTATTGAATTAAAAAAAAATTTTTTTTTAATTGATTTTTAGAGAGAGAGAGTGAAACTTCAGTGAGAGAGAACATCAATTGGCCGCCTTCTGCATGCTCCCCACTGGGGATCAGGCCGACATCCTGGGCATGTGCCCTGACTGGGACTCAAACCAGCGACCTCTTGGTGCATGGGTCAATGCTTAATCAGTGAGCCACACCAGCCGAGCTTTATTGAGTTTTTTAGAGAGAGAAGAAGAGAGATATAGAAACATCAATGTGAGAGAGAGAAACGTCAGTAGGCTGCCTCCTGCACGACCCCTACTGGGGATCAAGCTGTCAACCCCAGTATGTGCCCTGACCTGGAATTGAACTGGTATCTCTCAGTCCATGAGACGAGGCTCAGTCCACTGAGTCACACCAGCTGAGCTTCATGTTGATTTTATTTTGACTTTGCTGTCAGGTTTTCTCTCTTGCCGTGGATTATATTACACAGGTCATGAATGTATTTTTTTTAGGTTACACGCATGGGGAAATACTCTGGAAGAAGCATTCGAGCAATGTGCAATGGCCATGTTTGGTTACATGACAGATACTGGGACTGTGGAGCCCCTCCAAACAATAGAAGTAGAAACACAAGGTAACCCGTTTATTTACGAGAAAGAAATTGTTATACAAGCATGCAGTAGTCTACATAGTACTTTCACGCTAAGAACAACAAAATTGATTATGAGCCTGCTCCTCCTCTTTCAGCTTGCCTAAGAAATTCGTTGCACTTTAAATTCAAACAACTTTTTAGAGCTGAGAATTATTAAACATCATACTATTAATTTTTTTTTTAATTCTGTGTAGGAGATGACTTACAGTCTCTTCTGTTTCACTTTTTGGATGAGTGGCTTTATAAGTTCAGTGCTGATGAATTCTTCATACCCCGGGTAAGCAAGGATTTTTATAGAGCAAATGGGTTCTTAGTTCATATTTTAAAATAGAACAAGTGATTTAAAATAGGACCACACCATACAGATATGTAATGATGATATTGATTTGCAGAGATTATAATGACCGTAGGCTCTTCTTGGTTAACCTGAGTTTGCCTATGTATATGCTGTTTGTATTTAGACCTCTTATTTATATAATTATCCCTAATCAGGATTGTGTAATAAGAAAGCATTTGCTGTCTTTATAGACACTTTTTATGTTTCCCAAGTTTGAGCTATATTTATGTCCATTTATATGTTCTTTTTGCCCCATTTGAAATCTAGCAGCTCTGCATGTTGGCCTAAGTTTAAAAATTGGTGCTTTTAGTTTTCCTTAATGTGAAAAAAGAAAAGCCAGATGGAGTTTGCTTGTTGCCATCAACCTCTAGAAGGGAACACCTCTCCAGCATCCTCATTATCTAGTACATATGGCCCCTCCTTCCTTCCATAAGTTCTTCATTCTCTCCTTAACTAGCTGTACTACATAAACCCTTTCAACTAAGTCATTTGTCCTACAAAGTTCAAGTGCCTACAATACTATATAAAAATAGGCTGAGAGTGATTGAAATCTTATGCCATCCTCTGTCTTACAGAAAAATTCTTTTGATTCATGTTTTTAGATTATATATTTTTAAGAATACCTCCCTTGCCCTGGCCGGTTTGGCTCAGCGGTTAGAGCATTGGCCTGCAGTCCAGAGAGACCCGGGTTCAGTTCCCGCTGTGGGCATGTACCTTGGTTGCAGTTTGTCCCCAGCCCTGGTTGGGTTGTGCGGGTGGCAACCACTCGATGTGTCCCTTTCACGTCGATGTTTCTCTCTCTCTCTCCCTCCCACTCTATCTGAACAACAACAACAAAAAAGAATACCTCCCTTGAATATGTAAGAATATTATTTTCTTGAAATATATTTAGTTTATTGTTTTATATTGGTTAACATTTTAATTTTCTTTGCATCATAGAAATTGTATGCTGTTATCTGGAAAAGGTGATAACCTAGACATGATTAGTAGATAGTCTGTAATGAACATTTTAAAAAATGAAAATAATTTGTTTTTCCTCTTTAGGAAGTAAAAGTACTTAGTATCGATCAAAGAAATTTCAAATTACGGTCAATTGGGTAAGTTTTGAATATCTTTCAAGTAGCGAGTCATGAAAGATGTTCAGTTATATTCTTCACTGAACTTAGCAGACAGGAAGACAGAAAAGTCAAGGACCAATTGCATCCTAATAGGTAGGGCTTTTCAATTGTTTAAGCAGGTTAAGCTTTGTTAGAGATCTAGGAGGGAGAGCTTACTTCAGCTTTGGAGGATCAGAATCTTGTTGGAACAAATTTGATTTTAATTGTTAAACCTGATTCCTAATTTGTTGATTTTTAGGACAAAACATATAACTGCTAGTTGGCACAAATATTTGCATAAAGCCTACCTTGGTGATGGGAAATACTTAATTGTGTTTTCTCATAGATTCTCACACCTAGATGCTATTCAAACCAGGGTCTTCTATTAAATTATTCTTTTCCTCTAGAGTTTGCAAACACTTGATTAGGTCACTTTGATTACACTTGGTGTTTCCCAAGTTTCTTTAGTCACTCAATAATATCTTGTGTTATTTTTATATAAAGCCTATCTTTTCCATTTTATGTTGAATTTTATAAGTTTCTTTTTGTAAAGTGAGGTCTTTTATTATCTCCTCTTTTTTGGGAGTGGGATGAGGAAATAGTCTTGTCCAGGGTACTTAGCTAATAAATGGTTGAACAGATTTTAAAACTTTCCTTTTTTCACTACTGCTTCTACTACTGTGATCTTCAGCTACATTAGTTTGGAAGGGAGAGAGGATACTTAGTTCTAGTCAAGTTCTAGGAGAATACCTTTGTAGGGCCTTCTATATATAGACCATGGACATTTTTGAAAAGTTATAAAATGCAAACCAAATTCAGACCGTATTATAGAATGTTATCTAAAGTGGGAGATGATGGCCCTGGCCGATTTGGCTCAGCGGTTAGAGCGTTGGCCTGTGGTCTGGAGAGACCCGGGTTTGGTTCCCGCGAAGGGCACATACCTCGGTTGCAATTTGTCCCCGGCCCTGGTTGGGTCGTGTGGGTGGCAACCACTCGATGTGTCCCTTTCACGTTGATGTTTCTCTCTCTCTCTCTCTCCCTCCCACTCCATCTGAACAAAATATCGAAAAATGTCCTCGGGTGAGGATAAAAAAATAAAAAATAATAAAGTGGGAGATGATGTTTCATTAGTTCTATAACCTTGACAACAATGAAAATTTTGGACATGTTACTCTGTTATGAAATAATATTAAATAAAGATTGTTTATTGAAAGCCTACCTATGTACACTATACTAGGGCACTTTTTTTTCATTAACTATTGACTTTGTTGAAATGGCTGTTGCACATAAGTCCCTCAGTAACTATATCTGCTGGCAATCAACCTGACATATATACCTCTTCCATTTCCTGGCTTTCTAGTATCTTAACTGCATTTGTAAGGCTTATTTTAAAATAAGTAAAGAGAGAACAAATATTAAATTCAGGAAATCTTAATCATGTTTTAATTTTCTTTTTCAAGGTGGGGAGAAGAATTCTCATTGTCCAAGCATCCTCAGGTATGTTTTTATTCCAGTCATTAAAAACATTCTATACTTCCTTACCATAAAGTTTGGTATATGTAATAGTAAATTTCAATGAATTCTAATAAATTGGTCTAAACTGGTAAGTTTTTCTCAGCCATCTTTGACCTGTCTGGACATATTATGTTAACGCAGTGATTTCATACATTTGATTTGGTGGATTAAGAGCACTTGGGTTCTAAGGTCAGGTTTGTTACTGATGATTGTGGGACTTAAAAGTAAGTCCGTTTGCCTTTTTGAGCTTTGATTTCTTCCTCTGTGATGAAGGTTTTGGACTAGGTGTTCTCTAAAGGACTTTCTACCTTCTGTTCTCCTCTAGATTCTATATTTGCCAACCTGTATTAGTCAAACCTATTGGAATAGGGAAAGGCAAAATTTTCCTGTAAAGGCCAGATAATGTTTTAAGCTTTGTGGGTGGAGAGTGATGGAAGAACCACTACTCACCTCTTCTTTTGTTACACTGCAGCAGCATAGACAAAACGTAAATGAATAAATGTGGCTGTGTTCCAATAAAACTTTATGGACATTGAAACTTGTATTTCATATCATTTTCAAATGTCATTAAATATTCCTTTGTTTTTCAATTGTATAGAAATGTAAAAACCATTCTTAGTTCATGGGGCTGTACAAAAACAGGTGGCAAGCTGGATTTGGCCTATGATTTGTGATTTGCTGACCTCTGTATTTAGTTCAAGGAGATCTAAATTAGTTGGAGGTGCCTGGGAAATCCTAGTATCATTTTTTCAACCATGGTATAATGAAATGAAGCCTGATGCAGGATCCTTAGGAGAAGCATAAAACAGAGAAAAACCAGTAGAGGGTAGTGTGCAAATATAAAACATTATGTTTATAATACAAATGACACAGTGGATTTTTTTGAACATGTTATAATTTAGATGTTTATTAGATATTCAAAAGGAGATATCAGATAATAGGCATTTATCTATAGAATGACTTGTTCAGGAGATAGGTGTGTCTGGAAATACAGATTTAGGAGTCGTCACTGAATAGATGATATTTATAACCATTGGTCTAGGTAAAATTACCAAGGAGGGAGGGTAGCTAAGAGAGAATAGAAAAGAGGACTGAGCCCTTGAGACACTAAGTTTGGAAGAGAGAGCCAAAAAGGAAAAGAGGGATGAGGAGAGCCTAGTGAGAAGGAGCAAGAGAAGAGGGCTGCCCTAGAAACAAGATATCTAATGCTCTTGAGTCTGCTCAAAGGTTGAATAAAGTGAGGTCAACTAATTAGTGGAATGATATGTATAAATATTTGGGGTGTGTCAAAGAAGGAATGAGAGGTGAGAAAATGGAGGTAGTATACTGACACAGTTCTTTTGAAGATTCCACAGAAAAGGGGAACATATGGATAGACCAGTAATAGCTAGAAGGGATTGTGGCTAGTAAGGAAGTTTTGTGCCTTGTCTTATATTAATTAGGAGGTGTATTAGCACCATTGCATGCTCAGTGGAAATGACATAGTATATTGGGAAATTTTGATCATGCTGGAAGGGGAGATAATGATTTCAGAGCAAAGACCTTCAGATAGTAAAGGCAGGGGTGGGGGAGTGTGGGATAGTGTTAAAGTGAAGTTGACCTCCTAATAGGACCAAGGACTGGCCATTAAAACAGGATGAAAGGCTGGTGGGAGTGCAGATACAATAAGATGGTAGATTTGATGGGGGAAAGATGAGTCAGTTTTTGTTTTTATTTTTATCGTCACCGGGGACATTTTTCCATTTTTTTTTTTCAGATAGAGTGGGAGGGAGGGAGGGAGGGAGAGAGAGAGAGAGAGGAGAGACATTGACGGGAAAGGGTCACATCGAGTGGTTGCCACCCGCACGACCCAACCAGAGGCCAGGGACAAACTGCAACCGAGGTACACGCCCTTAGCGAGGTCTCTCTGCACCGCAGGCCGACGCTCTAACCACTGAGCCACACCGGCCAGGGCTGAGTCAGTTCTTACTGAGTGCTCTTGTTTTCTCTAGAAAGCACAGTTGAGAGAGAATGAAGGATGGGAGCTAGAAGTGAAGATGTGAAATTTCAGTTGCCTCAGAGTGAGAAAGTAAATTTAGTGGTAAATGTAGGATTACTGGTCAGTGCAGAGTATCCTTTTGAGAATTGTGGACAGCCTTTTAAGGTGATACCAGTTCACATGGTGTGTGCTGCTACAGGCAGAAAGTTGAATTTGATTGAGGAGGTTGTTTCCCCAGGGGATTATGGCTGGGGAGGGGCAGAGGAGTTGGTGCCATTCAGTTTCATCTGAAATCTTCAAATTTCTTTGGTGCCATAAAGCTAACAAATGCCACTCCCTCGTCTCTGACACATTTTTTGGTGCACAGAATTACTGTAGGAGGTACTAAGAGAACATCAAATCCTGTGGCTCTAAGTTGAAGCGGGGTGTTGTCATGTATCAGAAACATGTGTAGAGCCCTGGCCGGTTTGGCTCAGCAGTTAGAGTGTTGGCCTGCGGTCTGGAGAGACCCAGGTTCGGTTCCCGCTAAGGGCACGTACCTCGGTTGCAGTTTGTCCCCGGCCCTGGTTGGGTCGTGAGGGTGGCAGCCACTCGATGTGTCCCTTTCTCGTCGATGTTTCTCTCTCTCTCGTTCCCTCCCACTCTATCTGAACAAAATACTGGGAAAAAAAAGAAACGTGTAGAAAGAAGGATCCTAAGAGGTAAAGTGAGTATTGTTAGCTGAGGAGAAGAAAATAGGCCAACCCCTGGCCAGTTTGGCTCAGCGGTTAGAGCATCGGCCTGTGGTCCAGAGACCCGGGTTCGGTTTCCGCTAAGGTCACGTACCTTGGTTGCGGTTTGTCCCCGGCCCTGGTTGGGTGGTGCGGGTAGCAACCACTCAATGTGTCCCTTTCACATAGATGTTTATCTCTCTCCCTCCCACTCTATGTGAACAAAATATCAAAAAATGTCCTTGGGTGAGGATTAAATAAATAAATAAGTGTAAAAAAAAAAAAAGAAAGAAAGAAAATAGGCCAAGTTCCTAGGCCCCAGGTTAGACTGCAAGGAGTTTTGAGAAGGAGCCCTGAGCAAACAGTAGGAAAGATTTGTGGTTTTCTTTTTTCCTTTATTAGTTTGTTTTTTTTAATCCTCACCCGAGGACACCTTTGCATTTTTTGTTCAGATAGAGTGGGAGGGAGAGAGAAGAGAGAGAGAGAGAGAGAGAAACATCGACATGAAAGGGACACACCGAGTGGCTGCCACCCGCACAACCAACCAGGGCCGGGGACAGACTGCAACCAAGGTACGTGCCCCTAGCGGGAACCGAACCGGGGTCTTTCTGGACTGTAGGCCCACACTCTAACTGCTGAGCCAATCCGGCTGGGGCAAGCTTTGTGTTGTTTGATTCAAACCATTTGATAAGTGATAAAGCTGATGCCCAGACAGGTCATACAGCTTCCATATCCAGGTGGAAATAAAGCCAGGATTGGCGTTCTGTCTCCTAATTCCAGTTCATTGCTCTTTCTACTATACACTTGCTTTTAGTGAATCAACATATAATACTATACCAATTTGATAACTGTTTTATGTGAGTTTTTAGTTTTTCAGAGTAATGATAAAAATTAGACTTTCTGCCAAATGTTGGTAGAGTTAATTATTCTGATTTCAATGTCCTTTTTCTCCTATTTGTTTTTTCTCTAACCCGAACTTTAGGGAACTGAAGTCAAGGCAATAACATATTCAGCAATGCAGGTCTATAATGAAGAGAAGCCAGAAGTTTTCGTGATCATTGACATTTAAGATAAAAAAAAAAAAATACTCCTATGAAGAACTGTTTTTTTCTCTTCCTTTTGAGAAGATACCATGATATAAATTCTAGTGTCTGACAATGTATGATGATTTGCAGAACAGAAATATTTGACTTAAAGTGTGACTTCCACAAATGGAAAATCAAGGCATAGACTTGGTCTGCATTAACTAGATATTCAAATGTTAAAGAATTCTTCAGGTGGCAAATATGGTTCCTCATTTATTAATTCCCTGATATAGCAGCAGGTGCTTCACACCCTTCCAATGGAATGCCAGCCTCCAGCCCAGTCCCAAAAGGGATCATTGATGTAAGCAGCAGCTGGAGAGATTCTGAAGCCTCCATGCTCTTATCGAATCCAGTTTAGGGGAAAAAATGATAATTTGAGAAATCTTACAATCAGAATTTTGCTTTCAAAAAGGAGAAACATCTGTAACAAAACTTAATTAAAAATTTTTTTAAAAAGAGTTTTGCTTTTCCTCCAAATTGGTTAAGACATATCTTCTATACATATATTAAGAGGTTGTATTTTAGATTGCTGTAGGACAGAGCCATCCTGTATTCCAGTTGGTTACCTTAGAAGAAGTAATTATAATTGAACAATTGGAAGACCTCTAGAAAGAGCCCTGATTTTCTATCTTACTTTATTTAATTTATTTATTTTTAATCCTCGCCCAAGGATATTTTTCTATTTATCTTCAGATAGAGAGAGGGAAAGAAAGGGAGAGAAAGAAACATCAATGTGAGAGGAATACATTGACTGGTTGCCTCCCGGACGACCTGACCAAGGCCAGGAACGAACTGCAACTGGGATACGTGCCCTTGTCCGGAATCGAACCCGGGACTCATTGGTCCACAGGCTGATGCTCTACCACTGAGCCAAACCAGCCAGGACCTTTCTTACTTTTTTTTTTAAGCACTGATATATGACACTTTTTTGTTTTCCCATTAAAAAAAGCATAATGCCCTTACAAATGGGCCCTTGTAGCATGTAATTTTATATTAAAGCCTGTATTTTTATACAGTTAGAGATGAATGGGAGAATTTTTTTAAGTTCCTTTGATTTTTTTGTTTTTATACTCCCCGGAAGACACTTTCTACCATTTTTTATTCAGATAGAGTGGGAGGGAGAGAGAGGAAGAGAGAGAGAGAGAGAAAAACATTGACATGAAAGGGACACATCAAGGGGTTGCCACCCACACGACCAACCAGGGCCGGGGACAAACTGCAACCGAGGTACGCACCCCCAGCGAGAACCAAACCCAGGTCTCTCTGGACCGCAGGCTGATGCTCTAACCGCTGAGCCAAACCGGCCAAGACAAAATTCCTTTGATTTTTAAAAATTATGTAAGCTCTTCATTTCTAAGGAGACAGTAGGCCAGGAAAACAACTATAAAATTATCTGAACACACTTCCGGTCAAGATGGCAGCATAGGTAAACACAGTCCTCGCTTCCTCCCACAAGGACATCTAAATTACAACTAAACTACAAAACAGCCATCATTCAGACCTACCTGAAATTGAGCTGAATGGAAGTCCTACAACTAAGAAATTAAAGAAGCAGCCACATCGAGACTGACTGACTCACCAGCAGTCAAAAAAGGTTAAGGAGGAATGCCATGCTGATCTGAACTACAACTCCAAGCACATTCTGTGGGTTTGGTGATCTTAGAAGCACGAGCAATCATCTTCCATGCTGTTACTGAAGCAGGAACTCAACTGGATGTCTCTCACCCACTGCTCACACCTTCATTGACTAACAGGCCATTGACTGCACAGTTACAGTATCAAACATTTATTTTACTAGTTTCCTGTAGTATAACCATTAACTACCTGCATTTTTACTTTTAAAAGAGCTTCAATAGCTGCTGGAATCTTTCTGAGACCTGAAAATTTTAAAAATGTGTGTTAATTATAAATATTACAGTAAGGTTTTTTTTTAATCCTCACCTGAGGATATTTTTCCATTTATCTTCAGATAGAGTGGGAAGGGCAGAGAGAGAGAGAAACATCGACATGAGAGAGACACATCAATTGGTTGCCCCCTGCACACCCCCAACCAGGGCTGGGGACGAACTGCAATCAAGGTGTGTGCCCTTGACTAGAATCGAACCCACAACTCTTTGTTCCATGAGCTGATGCTTTAACCACTGAGCCAAATCGGCCAGGGCAATATGATTTTTTAAAAAATCTGTAATGACTACATTCACAAAACATCTAAAAGTTACTGTCAATAATAGATGAAGTAATCTCTGGAAAAATAAAATTATACTAAAGGTGATTGCTAGTTTAACTGTCAACATTAAACTTTATTTTGTTTTTAATGAAAAAAATAAATAATATGATCTGAACTTGTCAAAGTAGATAACTTTTTAAAAATTAAACTGTTGCCCTGGCCGGTTTGGCTCAGCGGTTAGAGCGTCGGCCTGCGGTCCTGAGAGACCCGGGTTCGGTTCCCGTTAAGGGCGTGTACCTCGGTTGCAGTTTGTCCCCGGCCCTGGTTGGTTGTGCAGGTGGCAACCACTCGATGTGTCCCTTTCACGTCGATGTTTCTCTCTCTCTCTGTTCCTCTCTCTCCCTCCCACTCTACCTGAACAAAAAATGGAAAAATGTCCTCGGGTGAGGATAAAAAAAATAAATAAATAAAAATTAAACTGTTGCCCTGGCCAGTTTGGCTCAGCAGTTAGAGCATTGGCCCGCAGACCAGAGAGTCCTGGGTTCGGTTCCTGCTAAGAGCATGTACCATGGTTGCAGTTTGTCCCCTGGCCCAGTTGGGGTCATATGGGTGGCAGCCAGTCAATATGTCTCTCTCACATCGATGTTTCTCTCTCTCTCTTCCTCCCTCTGTCCCTCCCACTCTATCAGAAGATAAATGCAAAAATGTCCTCGGGTGAGGGTAAAATAATAATAAATAAATAAATAAATAAATAAATAAATAAATAAATAAAAATTGAATTGTTGCCAGTCCGATGTGGCTCAGTGGTTGAGTGTTGACCCATGCACCAAGAGGTTCCTGGTCGGGGCTCATGCCCAGGTTGTGGGCCTGATTCCCAGTGTGGGGTATGCAGGAGGTGGTCAATCGATGTTCTCTCATTGATGTTTCTCTCTCTCTCCCTTCCTCTCTCTCTAATATCAATAAAGAAAAACAAATTTTTAAAAATTTAACTGGTTTGATTTGCAACATTACTCTATTTCCTTCATTAATTGAGGTATTCTATCCTGTGATATAAGAGTTTGCAAAGTTGCTATTCACACGTACATGAGAAAAGATTGCCTCTGGGTGGTGCCAGATATCATAGTAGGCTGAATTTGACCTAGGAGGAAGAGATTGTGAGCTTTCTCTGGACCGCAGGCTGATGCTCTAATCGCTGAGCCAAACCGGCCAGGGTGAGATTGTGAGCTTTCTAAGTGTTCTGTCTGAGCACTGCATTATTTCCCCTGAGTATGGCACAAAGTAGAGCTAAAGAAGGCTAGGCGAAGAGTCTGTAGCTCTTCAAATTAATACCTAGCAGGATCACTGGGGTAGTGCTTCTTAACTTTTAATCTTAGGCACATTTTGCAAATTTGGATTGTGACCTTCCAAGCAAAAAAAATGTCTGGAATCTACTTTTGTTACGATGAATTTCCAGGCTGAGATGGGGCTCTTTTTTTCATAGACTCCTTTGCACATCAGGAGCTATTTGGGGGGTTGACTGTGAAAATAAACAAGGGGAGACCATGAGGGCACTGGGAGAGCCACATCTAGAGCAAGACCTCTTAGGATGTATTAAGCCAAGTAGGGTGCAAACTTGACTAGGAGAAAAAGCACAGCCATTTCTCTTATCAGTGCTACATAATGTGGTTCAGTGAAAATACGTCAGATGTAATTATACAAATTATGTTTCTTTTTATTTATAATAAATATCTAACTTACTATTTTAAAAATTAGTTTGTTAGATGTTCAGTGGATTGAGCATCTTCCCATGGACTGAGAGGTCTCGGTTCTATTCTGTCAGGGCACATGCCCCTGTTGCAGGCTCCATCCCCAATAGGGGGCATGCAGGAGGCAGCCAATTGATGTTTCTCACATCAATGTTTCTCTCTCTAGCTCTAAAAAAAAAAATTTTAAACATTAGTTTGTTTTAAAATACGTCAAAATAAAAATACTACATTAGTCCAGCCAGTGTGGCTCAGTGGTTGAGTGTTGGCCCATGCACCAGGAGGTAGCTGGTTCGATTCCCGGTCGGGACACGTGCCCAGTTGTGTTTCTCTCTCTTCCTCTCTCTCCCTCCCACTCTATCTGAACAAAAAAAAAAAAAAAAGGAAAAATCTCCTCCGGTGAGGATTAAAACAAAAAATAGTTCTGGCTGGTTTGGCTCAGCAGTTAGAGTGTCAGCCCATGGACCAATGAAACCCGGGTTTGATTTTGTCCAAGGGCACGTACCTTGTTTGTGGTTCATCCTCGGCCCTGGTCAGGGTTGTGCGGGAGGCAACCAGTCGATATGTCTCTCTCACGTCGCTGTTTCTCTCCCTCCCTCCTAATCTGTCTAAAGATAAATGGAAAAATGTCCTCTGATGAGGATTAAATAAATAAATAACATACTGCATTAAAGGAAAATGAGTATGTTACCCTTTATATGGGAAGTTGGCTTTTTTCCCCCCTATCACATGCACTTTTTAAAAAATTAATATTTTATTAAAGTATAGTTGTCATAAGTATCCCCAGTTTTCCTAGGATAGTTAAGAATCTTGTTCTGTAAATGAAGAGAAAGGGAGTCATCTTGGACTTAAACTTGGAGCTGTGGAATTTAAACACTGCTGTGCTGATATTTTTATTTTGGGGATGTAATGATTGGTAGCACAAACTGTAGCCAGATCACTGGGGTTCCAGTCCTGGTTCCGCCACTAATAACTCTCCACTTTGGGCATGTTGCTTAATCTCTCTGTGCCTTAAGTAGTGATGTTAGTACTTGCAGGATTGTTGAAAGGATTAAATAAATGTATGCACACAAAGCTGTCAAGACAGTGCCTGACAGATAGTAAATGCTCAGTAAATTGGGGCTATTATTATTATCATCAGGGAACGCATAAATGCTAACAGCCCCCTTTTCTCCTTAATTTTAAAAAGCCACAGTGCTTGGTTAGGGGCTGTGGCTATCCTAGAGTACCCAGAGCCATTCTGCTAGAGTCTCCATTTATTAAGAAGGGCAAACAAAGCCACTAGTCTCTGCTTCTCCCTCTCCTGCTCTCTACTCCAAGTCTTAACTGTGTTAATCAAATTTTCTTTGTAACATATCCAAGTTGAGCATCAATTTTCAAAAGCTGTGTGCCATCCTCTTATGCCAAACCAGCTGCCCTACGGGGCTCCCTTTCATTTACTGTTCCTAACTGATTCCCTTGTAACTCACAGTATGAAACATTCAAGGGCTGTATCACATTAAGAAGAAATATAAACAAATTATTGGGTAGCTGTTTCTTTATCATTGTCCCCATGGCCCGTCCTGATCTCTCAGTACCAGTGCAGCCCATCCACATGCACCAGCAAAGATCACATAACACCAGTTTCTACCTTTGAATTTTTGCCCTGATTCTTTCTCTGTTTTTATAACAACTTTATTGAGATATAATTCATATACCATACAATTCTCCCATTTAGAGTACAGTTCAGTGGTTTTTAGTAGGTTCACTC